GCCCGTGTCGGATTCCCGAGGCGTCAGTCACCAACATCCGCTGCGGGCGAGTGAAAGGTTGGCCGACCTAATTCGTAGGGGGGTAGTGTCTTCTGAAGTTTTGAACCCGCGACCCCCCCCCTTTGCCTTCAGCTTCTGGTGCTGGAGCGTCCAATGCCCCGACCATCCAAAGAGAGGGGGGGCCTTCAAGGGCCAAGGGCAGGGGCAAGGGTAAGGGGGGTTGTCGGTGGCACTCTCACTGGTCCCCAAGAGCGGGCCCTCCGTAGGCTGCGCGCCGTCCAGGGGGTGCTCGTAGGGGCGGTGCGGCGTCCGTCGTGTGCCACGGGCCGCATCTGACGATTTGGCGAATCACGATTCGCCCCCCAGAGTTCCCTTCGCTGCGAAGGTAGGCGGTGTAGTCAGGCGTCTAGCAGTTGCAGTTGAACTCCCACGGGTCCAATCCCAATCCCAATCCTCCTCCTCTCCAGAGGCGCTCACAAGTGCTCCAGAGGCGCTCCCAAAAGCTCCAAAGGCGCTCACCAGCGCTCCAGAGGCGCTCGCAAGCGCTCCAGAGGCGCTCACAAGCGCTCCAGAGGCCGCGCGGAGAGGCTCGTAGTAAGCTCGTAGGAGGCCTTCCAGAAGCTTCAAACGTTTGTGAGAGTTCTGCAACCGGGGAAGAACCCAGTTTTCCGGGAAATGCCCTAGTTTACCGGGACATATTTATTTTATTGTTTGGCAGATCTTTTTTGTTGGCCTTCACCCGCATCTACAACATCCGATCCTCTCGAGGTAGGAGATGGAGCGGGGTGCGTCTTGCCCAGCCCCTTTCGGGACGAGCTGCTCGCCTGCTCATTCCTGCAATTTGACGGCCTTGGCCGACCTTCGTGCGGGCTATGCCCCCGAGGCGTTCGGCGCGGGCACTTCCCTCGTGTGAGAAGGAAATGTCCGCGCGCCAGTCAGCCCGCGCCCGTCGGCTGAGCTTTGGCGCAGGTCAGAGCGCGGCGGATGGCGCGCGGTGTTGCGCGATCGCCTCATGCTCACTGTGCTGAGCCGCGGTGTTTCTCCAGGGCCCGAGCTCGCCCAGCTGCGTCGCGAACTGGGGCTCCTCTCCTTGGGCTCTCCAGTTGCGCCGCGCTGGATTGCTGAGCTGTCGCAGGCGTTGCGCTTCCGCCCGGCCTATAAGTGGGAATCCCGCGCGCCGCGCCACGTCGACATGCTGGAGACGGCCGTTTTTCCGTCGGGGTTTCGCCCCCAGCCGCGGGCCCCCTCTCATTCATAATGGAATATATCAGAGTCGCGCCGGTGCGTCTCGACGCTGCCTCGGCGCGTCTGGGAACATCGTGCGGGGGCGGATAAAAATCATCAGCGCGCGTTGAAACGTTGGCGTTATCCTAGTGGCCTTCGGTCCACCCCGCCACCGTGACTGAGTTGTGGGGTCTGCGGCGTCTTGTATATGTGTTGGTATCGTGGGGGTCCCCAAGAGGGCCTCTAGGATGCGGTTTGGGCGCTTCTCGGGGGTCTACTTGGCCTCGTGGGATATCTTGCGGGCCCCTTGGGGGCTTCTTGGGCGTGTCTTGGGCGCGTCTTGGGCGCCTCTTGGGGGCCTTGGTGCCTCTCGGCGATCTCTTGGGGTTTCCCGGTGACTTCTCGGGGCGCAAATATCGAATCTTCGGTTCGTAGTCCCCGGCGTAGTCCCTTCATGGGGCCGTCTTGGAGCCCTCTTGGGCCGTCTCGAGCGCTGCTTGGGCCATCTTGGAGCCTCCCTGGGGCCACCTTGGATGCGTCTTGGGCTGCCGTGGGGCCGTTTGGGGAGCTTCTTGGGCCGTCGTGAAGCGCCGGGGAGCCGAAGATGCGAGAAGGCCTAAGTCCTTCCAGGACCTTTTTGAAGTTTCACCATTTTGGCTCCTCGGGGCTCTCTCGGGAGGCCTCTTGAAGCGCTCCTGGGGCCTCGTTGGCTTTTCTTTGGGCCGTCTTGGAACCGTCTTCGGAGCCGTGGGGCGCTCTCGGCCTCTGGCAATGCGAGCACGGCGTAGTTTGCGAAGGCTTGGGGCTTCGAGGCGCGAGCATTGGGCATTTTGCGAGGGTTTGTTGCCTCGGGGGCGCAACCGCTAGGGGGCCGCATGCGAACCCTGCCCCTCCCCCCCCCATGATTTCTGGGGGGGAGTGCGGGGTTCGCTTCGTTCGGCAGCTCCCGAGCGAAGTGAACCCCGCCCCGCCCCTCAGAAATCGTGTGTGGGGGGGGGGGGGAGAGGGGCAGGGTTCGCATATGGCCCTTTAGGATTTGCGGGGGCTCGTTGCCTCGGGGGCGCAACTGCTGTTCCACGTTCGAAGGTTTTGCGGCCTCGGGGGCGCGAGCAGTGGGCAATTTGCGAGGGGCCATGGCCTCCGGGCCACGCGAATCTCCTGTAGTTCATAGCGTGTCTTGCGCCCCCCCCTGAAAGTCAGAGATCCCAGTTTGCGGGCGGCGAATTGGACCCTGGTGCCCTCCCCCCCTCGCACGGTTTCAACGGTTTAGACTGGGGAGCAGAAGGCAGGATCGTGACATTGGAGACTTGGAACTGCAACTGGCGCAGGGAGAAGCAGCTTTGCCCTGCGGCCTGGTGGCCCCGCAAAGGGCTGGCGGACAAGAGCCTCTGCAAGTGTTGTTGAATTAGGCGCCCCGATCTGAGGATCTCTGTGCTACTGGACTCCAAGGCGGCACGGCCGTGGCGGCTCTCCAGGGCTGTCCCGCTCCCATCTCCTCGGCTGCCCTGTGTCATTGGGGGGGGGGGGGCTCTGCCATGGATGCCTTTGCGTGCCTGCCGACGTGCGCAGAGCTGACGACGCAACCGCGCTGGCCGCCCGGCATCCCTCGGTTCCCCCGCGTGGTTGGCGGACGCCGAACGGGGGACTTCTCTCCAGGTTTGCTTGCGTGGCTCTGGCTGACTCCTGCCTCGTAGTCGCCCTGTCGCGCTCTCTCTGGCTCGCAGCCCAGGGAGCGGAGACCTCCCAGGCGGGCGGCCGCCCCCCGGCGGGCGCGGGGATGGCCGCCCCGGCTGGTGACCCTGTGGAGTTTGGTCCACCGACGGCTCCCAGGGCTCCCGCAGCCCCGCGGCTGCCCCTGCCGCGCAGCGCGCTGTTCGGTCAGCGCGGCCCGCCGAGCGATGGCCCCGACGCGGGCGCGAGGCTGGCGGCTGCCCCTGGAGCCCGCCCCGCGCCCTCGACAGGGGCCCGCCGATCCTCGGGTGTTTGCGTTCGCCCGACGCCTCCTGCAGCGGGCGTTCGTCCGAGCTGCCGTGGCTCGGGCCGCCAGTTCGCGGCGCCCCGTCGGTTCGCGAGCGCCCTGCGCCCGCGGGCGGCTGCCGACATGTTGGATTTCCTCTGGGCGCGCCTCGACCCGTCATCGAGGCCACTTTTTCGTCGAGGTTTGGTGGCTTTCCATCCCGACAGGGCCCCCGTCGGCGGCGGGCCTCCCGAGTCTCCAGGGGCACGGGCGGCCCGCTGGCGCATCGTGGGCGAGGCTGAGACCGAGCTCGTGCAGGCCTGCAATGTCCCCGAGCGGCGGGATCTCGCCGAGCCCCCCACGGTCTCCTTCGGGCCTCAGGTTGCTTTGGGACTGGCCTCTCATGGCAGCCCTCTTGCTTATGAGTTTGACCGTGCTTCCACGCCCCGGCGAACTGCTGGTCGCCCGCATGTGCGACCTCTCGCTGCCTAGCGATTGGTTGGGGGCCAGCGGTGATGCCTTTCTTGCCATAAGGGCGCCGAAGACCCACCGCGCCTGTCCGACGCTGCGCGCGCGCTGCTCTGATGGGTCGTCGGTGAGAAATGGTGTTCTTGCATTTGTCCCGCCGATGTGTTGTCGCCCTTCGGACAGAGCGGCTTCCGTACTCGGTGTAACGAGGACCGCTTGCTCTCGGCTGTGGGCGCCCCCTTATCCAGCGCGGCCTGCGGGCTGGATTTCGCGCCTGCTTGTGCGCGAGTTTCCGGGGCGACGGACCTATATGGCCGCGGAGAACGTCCCTCGCGCTTTCTGGCGTGGCCGCTGGCACCAGGCCCCCAGCGCTGAGCGCCATCTCCAGACAGCCGCCGCTTGGTCTGTGCCGCCCGCCCTTCCTGCTTCTGCTCGCGCGCGTATTGCGTACTGCGCTGCCGCTAGCGACCGCCTTGTCGCTCTTGTGCTTGCCGTTGGCACCTCGGCGTGGTCATTGCAAGTTTCGGTCGCCCGCCACAGCCTTGTCGCTGCGCGAGGGCTTGGGGCATGGCGCGGCCGCAGGTGCCCCTCGGCACCCACGAGGGCCCCTTCTCCTGAGCGGCGCCGCTCGGCCCGCGCGCGCGCTCGGGGGCCTGCCTACCCTGGGCCCCCAATCGCGCGCGTCGGGCGCGGCGTCCGCCCGAACGCTTCTCGCGTGCGCGGAGCTGGAGAATGCTCTCTCTCTGATTCTCCCGTCCCCGCGCGCGTCTCGGTGCTCTGCAGCATCTCGGCCCTTCGCCCTCGGTTCTCCCTCTTCCCCTTCGGGGCTAGCCGCGTTGCCGCTGATGCCCCCTCTGCGGCCGGGATCACCCTTTCTCCTGAGCGGTGCCGCTCAGCCCGTGCGCGCTGGGGGGCCTGCCCATTCCGGGCGGCCCGTGGCGCGCGTCGGCCGCGGCGTCCGCCCGAGCACTTTTCGCTCGCGCGGAGCGGGGGGATCTTCGTTTTCTTTTTTTGATGTCTATTTTTCTTTGTCTTCTTCCTCCCATTCTTCGAAGTTCATACGCCTACAAGGGTGGGGGCGCGCGGGGGGGGGGGGCGGGGGAGGGGCCGGACTCCAGCAGTTGCGAGGAGGAGGAGGAGGAGGAGGAGGAGGAGGAGGAGGGAGGAGGAGGTGGAGGAGGAGGAGGAGGAGGAGGAGGAGGGGAGGAGGAGGAGGTGGAGGGGGAGAGACAGGAGGAGGTGGAGGTGGAGGCGGAGGCGGCGGCGGAAAAACTGTGAAGAGGAGGAGGAAGGAAGAGGAGGGAGGGGGAGGGGGAGCAGGAGGAGGGGCGAGCGTCTGGCTGCCCGCGAGGCGTGCCAAAAGAGCGGCTGCCCGGCGCTCGCGAAGCGCATCCAGGCGGACATGGACGCTGCGGGGCCGAGGGGTGCGTCTCGGTTCGAGGATTTCAGGCCTGGTGCAGCATTAGTACCAGCTTCCCCTGTGGGGTCGAGCATATGGGTTCGGAAGATCGCGCCGCATCGCCGATGCATCGGCGATGCGGTTCGCTGTAGAAACTGCATTTCTTCACGCCACCGGTGCTGATGCATCTCTCGCGTCGCCGATGCATCGGCGATGCGATGCGCCGCAGTCCTCCGACCCCATCAACTCGGACCTACCTTGGGGGGCTTCCAGACGAGACGGGACAGGCTCAGGTGGGGGCGCATCGACCCCGAACGGCCCACTCATCGCCGAGGGGGGCCCGATCGCCCATCATTCTCAGGAGCGTGCAGCTTCGCCATCGGAGACCCCTTCGCCGATCCACAGGGGATGACCGCCAGTTCCAGGTCAATGTTCCCCCCCCTTTGAGCCAGTTCCCAGGGATTGTTTTTTATCCTCTGGTGCGTAAGGGTCGTTACCCGGGCCAGACCCCCCCCCTCCCCTCCCCCCTCTGGGTGGCGGTAGCGATCGCACGTAGGGAGGAGAGCCTGGACCCCTTCCTTTTACATGTTGGTGCTCGCGCGCGTATTGTGGCGATCGTAGCGCACCCCCGCTCCAACGTTTCCCACCTCGCCCAAACGCTACTGATACCCGGGGTCCCATGCCCCTTCCCCCCGGGTAGCGACTGTTACCCGGAGAGGGTCAACATGAATCTTCCATTCATCGCTCCCCCTCACCAGGGGCCATGCGGAAACCATGGACTCGGATACTGAGTAGGTGCTGCCATTGAGCCTCGCGTTTGAGGGCATGCTGCCCTGTCGCCGCTCCACCTTCGCCTTCTTTGCACTGCAGACAAACGGGCATTGGGTTTTGGTGTGTTAGCGGTCGGCACGATTTCAACAGGCCTCTGCCCCGACCCGCTGGTCGCGCGGTCCAGTAGTCAGTATCGTTAAGCTTATCCCCATCCCCACCGGGCCATCCCACCGTCCCACCATCCCAGCCCCAGCTTGGAATCGGCCCCTCGAAGCCCGAGGGGCACGGCCGAAGTCCCCATCTCGGTTCCAGTGTGGCCAGTGGGAATAGGGATCGATGTAACAATGCTCACGCAGGAGCCCGACGTTTCTTTCCTCTCCTCTGTCGCCTCGTTTGGAGATCATGCTGCAAGCATTCGGTCTGCTCGAAGGCGAGCTGCCGCGTGCCCAAGCTCTTGGAGAGAGGGCCCGTCGAGACTTGTCGGAAGGGGGTTCCGGCCGAAGTCCGACGGAGGCGATCTTTTCTCTGGCACTGGCGTTTAGCCCCAACCTGTCGCCTCCTCGCTCGTCCCTCGTCTGTGCTCACGTCCTCGTCGCCGTCCTCGCCGGGTTAGCCTCGAGAGCTGACGCCTGGGCGGCCGCGTCTGGGGACGCGGCCCCTCTCCACGGCGTGCCTGGCGTTTTTTTAATTGCGCCGATCAGGAGGACTTTGCTGCCGCGTCATGGGCTCTGATGCGGTGCCCCGGGTAGGATCTGCCACCCCACCTCATCTGTGCATGACGTGCCGCCGCCCCCGCATTCGGAGGCCTATAGAGGTGGTGGCACCAACACCAGTGTTGGCGCAATGTGCCTCCACCGAGGGAACTGATTCCGATACCGGTGACACGGTGGTGATATTCGGGCTTCCCAGGTGGCCGAACTCATCACCAGCATCAGAATCTAGGATCATCGTGCCCTGGTTGAGGCAGCCTCCTGTTTTGGTGTTGGTGTCCATTTCAAGGCCTCGAGATCCATGTCGTCCTTGCCGAACGTGCTGCCGTTACGCGCCAGGTTGTCCTCACAGGACAGCTCATGTGACATGTAGTCCCTGGTGCGCGCCGTCAGCAGCATGTCTCGCTGCCGTAGGGCCTGTAACTGATTTGATCTGTTTTAATGTTAGACGCTTCGCGTATCCCCACCAGCCCATCCAGAAACGATGTCCAGGCGAGTTGAGGTGATCAGGGATGTGCGGAAGCAACGAGGGGACGGCCGAACCGTGCAAAGGAGGGAGGATGAGAAGGAGGAGGCTGATTGTATGGATGAGGGAGTGGGGAGAAGGAGGATGAATAGGATGATGAGGAGGAGGAGGATGAGGAGGAGGAGGGAGGAGACAAGGAGTAGGAGGAAGAAGTAGCAGCAGGAGGAGGAGGGCAAGCAAAGGGCCAGAGGTCTCTTGGATGCCTCTCGGAGCCTCTTGGGGTATCTTGGGCGCTTCGTGGTGGCCTCCTGGGGCGTCTTGGGGGTCTCTTGGCGGTCCTGGAGGGCTCTTGGGCGTCTTGCGTGCCTCTGGGGGGCCTCTTGGGGCCGCGTGGGGTCCTCTTGGGGGCCTCCTGGGGGCCTCGTGGGGGCCTCTTGGGGCCATCCTGGGGCCATCTTTGGACCTCTTGGGGCCTCCTGGGCGCTTCTTTGGGCCATCTTGGAGGACATCGATCAAAGAAGAGGGGAGCTTTTTTTAGCGCTGCCCCCCAAAAGGCCAACATGGGTCCAATACCCAAGTCAAACCAATGATTTTGGCTTCTTCGCCGAGGCCGTTTTGGACGCCCTGTCCGCTCGCTACCGGCCCCGTCCATGTCCAGGGGAGGGGGTAGGAGGGAGGGGTAAACCCCTTCCCGAAGGGGTAGAAAGGACTCCCTAAACCACCTGAGCCCAGAGGGCTGGTGGGATTCGCATGTTTTGTGGTGTGAGGTTTAACCTGGGCGCCCAATGGCCGCCGCCGCAGGACGCCTCACTGCTGCCGGTCACGGACGGTTTGTCAGCCGGGGATTTTGCGTTCTCTTTCATATTTCTGGCTTGCCCGGTTGTAAGTTGTGCGTGGTGTGACCCGCAGGCTGGGTGGACTGAATGGACCAGTATAGATCCTCATCCTTCTCCTCGCCTTCTCCATTCTGCTCCCACCCTTCCCGGCCTGCCCCACGTCCTTATCGTCTCCCGTCTTCATGCTCATCCTCGTCCTCGTCATTAGCCGTCGTTCCTGTCGTCACCTTCATCTTTTCCGCCGTCCTCGCCCCAAGTTTCCATCTCCATCCTCGTCCTCTCTGTTCATCCCCATCCTCACCCTCCATCCTCCATCCTCGACCCTCCTTCCGCCCTCATCACTCCATCCCAAAACCATCGAACACCCTTCATCCTCACGCCATCCCCGCCCCCATCCCCACCATCATCAACATTGCCCTGGCCGCCCTGGCACTGGGCGCCAGCCCGTGCGCCACGGGCCAGTAGCCTCTCAGGATCCGCGGCTACAGCATCGGCGGGCTGCCCAGGTGTGGTCAAAGGGCGGGGCTCCGATCGTCCACGTCCTCGACGAGGCTGCCCGGCGACTCCGTGCAGTGCCCGCCCTTGGGCCGTCCACCCCGCCTGCTCCCGCCGACGGGGAGCCTGTGCTTGTACTCTGGGGCGGTGACGGCCGTCACCGGGGGGAGGGGCCCATAGATCCAGCGCGTTGAAAAAATCAAGGCTGAGGTTTTTACCAAATTTCGGATGAAAAACCCGTCCTGGGGAATGGGCCAAGACTTCCGGGGACCGCGTATTGAAAAAACACGACATCGGATCTCTGGGGGGAAGGGGCCGGTGACGTCACGTTTCGCGCCGGCGGCGTCTGGGAATGCCTAGGAATGGCTGAGGACGGGTAGGAGCTACATGTAGGTGGCGTTCTGCACCACAGTGCCTGTGCGAACCACAGTGCCTGCGTGCACCACAGCGCCTGTGTACACCACGGCGCCCAACCCCGGGAAGCATTTAACACCCCCCTCCCTTTCGCATCCCTGGGGGGCTGCGATCTGAGAAACTGTCGCCACTTTCGAGGCCTGCTGGGGGGCCCAGCACAGTGACGCCACGCGCGGACTCAAATTAGACCTCGCCATCCCTGGGGGGCTGCGATCTGTGAAACTGTCGCCACTTTCGAGGCCTGCTGGGGGGCCCAGCACAGTGACGCCACGGGCGGACCCAAATTAGACCTCGCCATCCCTGGGGGGCTGCGATCTGTGAAACTGTCGCCACTTTCGAGGCCTGCTGGGGGGCGCACAGTGACGCCACGCGCGGCCCAAATTAGACCTCGCCATCCCTGGGGGGCTACGATCTGTGAAACTGTCGCCACTTTCGAGGTCTGCTGGGGGGCCCAGCACAGTGACGCCACACGCAGATTCAAATTAGACCTCGCCATCCCTGGGGGGGCTGCGATCTGTGAAACTGTCGCCACTTTCGAGGCCTGCTGGGGGGCCCAGCACAGTGAGTCCACACGCAGACCCAAATTAGACCTCGCCCTCCCTGGGGGGCTGCGATCTGTGAAACTGTCGTCACTTTCGAGGCCTGCTGGGGGGCCCAGCACAGTGACGCGCTACGCGGATCCACAATAGACCTCCGTATCCTTGGAGGAGGAGGAAGAGGAGGCGAATGAGGAGCAGGACGTTCGCCGCTTGCCTGGGACGTCGTCGGCGTCGTCGCCGCCGTCGTCGTCGTCATCGTCGTCGTCGTTGTCGCCGTCGGCGTCGTCATCGTCGTCGGCGTCGTCATTCTCGTCACCGTCGGGTCGCCGACGTCGTCGCCGTCGCCGTCGTCGTCGTTCAGTCGTCGTCACCGTCGTCGTCATCATCGTCGTAGTCATCGTCGTCGTCACCGTTGTCATCGTCTCCACGGCGCAGGGGGCGAAGCGGAAAGAATTAGCTTGCTCTCCACGAGACGCCCCTCATGCCTCGTGAGTTGCTCTCAGGCCCTCGATCACATCATCCTCGAACCGTTATTGTTTCTGGGACCTCGCCGCAGACTCAAGTTAGACCTCGCCATCTCTCGGGGGCTGCGATCTGAGATCCCCGCTTTCGAAGTGGCTAGGGGTGCTCAGGGACTGTAACTAATCAGCTTTATCTAGTCCTTGTCCTGTAGCCAGTGTCCTGCGAGTCTCCCGAACTCCGTCTGCAGACGTATGTAACCCTCGCTCCGTCATCGCCCCCCTTATAAAGTGTCCTAAACTATTTGCGCCCCGCGTTTGCGCAGGGGTTGGGTACGTCGCCAGGGTAATTTCGCACAGGATTCCCCAGAGTTGGGTTTTCGCTTGTCTGTTTTCAAAATGCTGCTCTCGCTCATGCGCCGGCCTCATTTTCGGGCCCCGCTCGTTCCGAATCGTGCTCCCGCTGCAGCGCTGGCCTCATTTCCGTGTTTCCGCTCGTTCCGAATTGTGCTCCCGCTGCAGAGATGGCCTCATTTCCGCGTTTCCGCTCGTTCCGGATCGTGCTCCCGCTGCAGCGCTGGCGTCATTTCCTGTGCCATGCCACGTCACGCAATGCAATGCTAGGTTGCGTTCCGCTGCGCGTTGCCATGCTTTCAGCTGAAGCTGTGATATGCAGTGCTTAAGTGCCACGTCGTGCTATGCCATGCTGCGCTTCGGCCTTCAACGCCATGCTATGCAATGTTATTTTCGGGGCCGCTGTGCGATGCCATGCTTTGCGTTGCAAGGCTTGCAATTATTTACTACGCCACGCCACGCCATGCTGTGGCATACTACGCTTTGCGGTGCTCTTCTGCGCCATGCCATGCCGTGCTCTAGAATACATCGCGTACCCTTTCGGGATCATTGCCCTGCTCGGCATCCGACTGTGCGAATAGAGAGGGGATCCACGCCATGGTAAGGGATGGGAAGGAGGGGTAGGATGTCAGATATGACGCGAGCGCACCTAATTTGCCCTACCTCCCTCCTCTTCGTCATGTTTTTTCGCATGGGTTGCTGGTACACACGTTCCTTCTTGATCGTGACCGCCCCTGCGGATGTTCGAGCTGTGGCCCCTCTCGCATCATCGAGGAGGATGATGAGGAGGAAAAGGAGGCTGATATGGGAGTGGATCGAGGAGGAGGAGGTGGAGGAGGAGGAAGAGGCGGAGAAAGAAAAGGAGAGGGAGTAAGAGGCGGGGAGGGGAGGGACGACGAGGATGATGATGAGGAGGACGAGGAACAGTAACAACCATGACTGTTGAACATGAATGAAAGGCGGTCGCAGGAGGAGGGGGGCTTAGGAGGGATAACGGGAGGAGGAAGAGGAGGAGGAGGAGGCGGAGGAGGAGGAGGAGGAACATGAGGAAGGCGAGGATGAGGAATGAGGAGTGGTAACGTACATGGGGATACAGCGGAACAGGAAAGCGATGATGAGAGCACAGTAGTGTACCCCCAAAACCCTTGGCTTCCCTCATTCATCCCGCCCCTCCTTCTCCTTTCCTCCGTCCCCGTGCTGCTGCCTTGCGCTGAGTTTTCGGCCCCCCTTCCGCCCAGCTCCTGTTCCTCATTCCCGCCCCCATGGGTCTCCGCGTTGTACCGCTGTCGTGAAAGTCGTGCAGCGCGCGCATCCCATGTAGCATCCGCAACGCCTGAGGGTTCTTGCCTTGCCACCGTCCGTTGAAGTCTTGCTACGTCGTCTTGTCATTTGGTGCAGATGGGTTGGGTACGTCGCGTGGCCATGCTTCTCTGCCTCCCGCCGCTCTGCCGCTGCTGTCTGAAGGGGCTTCGGTACTGCATTGCTCTGACGTTGAAAAGGGGCAGGACTTAGACCTCCGACTGGCGTGTTTTCCATCACCACCATAAGCTGGAGGGGGAGGGGGTCCTCCTCCTCCTCCTCCTCATCATCATCATCATCATCGTCGTCGTCATCATCATCATCATCATCATCATCATCATCATCATCATCATCATCATCATCCTGCTCCACCTCCTCCTCCTCCGCCTCTTCGCCCTCCTCCTCGTCCTCCACCTCTTTCCCCCCTCCAACTTATGCTGGTGGTGGTGGAAAACAGGCCCATCACCGACGTCCTGCTTCTTCGTACCGTGGAGCCCGGAGGCTCAGATCCCCTGCCCCGAGCTGGTTTCTCGTCCCGAAGCGCTGCCTTTGAAGGTCCCCAAGCGCTCCCCGGCCAGGGGCATCCCCAGATGCCGAAGAACCGTGCCAAGAAGAACCTCCCGCCGTGGTCCTTTTTACCAGCGAGAGGGTGTTGTGATGGGCCTGTCTTCCACCACCACTACCATAAGTTGGAGGGGGAGGGGGTCCTCCTCTTCCTCCTCCTCCTCCGCTTCGTCCTCCTCCTCCTTGTCCTCCTCCTCCCTCCCCCCATCCAACTTATGGTGGCGGTGGTAGTGGTGAAGAACAGGCCCATTGTGTGGGGGGAGGCGGAGATGCGAGGAGGATGGAGGAGGATGTGGGGGGAAGGTGGTCGAAGAAGACAAAGCGCCACAAGCATTACTCCGACGGTAGGACCCCGCATGCGAATCCTTTCGGCTAATCTGAAAATTACCCTCATCGTCGTCCTTGTGATGTTGAGGCGTCCTTACTGTTCATCTATACTGATGCTTTTCCCAAATTTAAGCTTCTGGGGCCCACAAGTGACGACGGTTGCAGGAGGCCGATGACCCGCCTCGGAAAACGCCACAAACATAAACGTTTGGCGCTCCG